TCTCTCTTTGTTAACACACCTGATTCAGATCATCTCTTAGAAGTGAGCTCCGTGCATGAACTGTGTTCCGATTGACATGTTCCCTACACAGTGTCCATTGCTCCCTACTCCCTGAGCAGGGGAAATCCGTTGAAGTTTACTTCACTTCGGAATATTCATTTACAGATTTGCGCTGCTCCGCTGCCTGCAGCGTCTTCACACACATACGAAACTTACTAGAGAAGCGTGAAGTGGGACATAATATACCGCATAATATACCGCACACTTAAATGCCCTTTGTATGGAACATATACGCTCCCTTCAAACTGGAATCATGGCGGAATATCCGGTAATGTCCACTTCGCAGGGCACTTACAGTCAAATATAACAAACGTATGAAGTAATAAGAGAAACATACAAAATGTGCAGAGCGGGGTACGCGAGGACTGGAATTGAGAACCGCTGTTCTAGACATGCCAAAAATTGGAGGCTACAGCACAGCAGCTCTTCTTCTTGGTTCCCTTTCATGGGAACTTCGAACTGCGTCCTCTAGGGGTCGCTATGGGGAACGCCTCGTCGTGACCCGTGTCTGAAGCATACATTGAAAAAACACCAACTCGTTGGCCGGCGACAGCCATGACGTCACTACCGGTGCGACTCCAGTATAAATCGGCGCCGGGAGCTACACATCATTCTCTTCTTCGTCTTCATTGACTGTTCTGTTTGAAGCGTGCATTTTCAAGGAAAAAGTAAGAGCTATCTATTTATTATGGCGAGCACTAGTAGAGCATTTAGAAGGTGTGTGTAAAAGCATAATAGGACCCCTTTAAATATTAACATATATAGAAGGTGCACAGTGTCATTCACACAAACACTAAACACCATAATCGTAACACACATGAAACTTAAATAATGCAATAAACATTAATTTAACAACATTAGATGTAACATTCAACCCTAACGTACAAAAGAAGAAACAGTTATTTCAACAAAAAAACATCAAATTTGAAATGTAACGCAGGGAATTTTGGTAATGTCAATTTACGGTTATTCACTGTAAATTATACCTTTTTTTTTCACTTCCAAAAACGGTATACTACCGTAATTTTACATGTAATGTCTAATGCCGTTTTTCACCGTATATAGTAGGGGAACTTACCGTTAACCATTTAACAGGTTTTTACTGTAGCATTTTTACAGGTTTTTACTGTTAAATTCACGGTCATACCGATCCCACCAGTGATATGCTATGTTCCTGAATTTTTTGCTAGGACATCGGATCCTCTTCTTTGTATAAGTTTGTAAAGGGGTGTAAGCAAATGTAAGCATGATGTCTCAGATTTTATATTGAAAGGCATTTATAGAAGATCATAATGGGCACAGAAACTATGAAAGCATCTAATCTTAATTGTCAAGTATATAAATAGAATATAAGACAGGATATTTTGATCATTTACATTTATTCATTTAGCAGACACTTTTATCTAAAACAATTTACAAATAAGAATTACAAATGAGTTTTCAAGAGTGTTTCAGCTGTTTTTGTCCACACAAGATATACATTGTATGGACAAAAACACTTATTTTTTTGTGTTTCATAAGAAGTCACATAGGTTTGTAAACTGTTACAACTTGAGAGTGAATAAATGACGACAGTTTTTATTTTTGAAAGGGTAAATGATCCCTTTAATAGATTAAATCCTGTGTATGAATAACTGTAAATCAAAAGATCTTTTGTGTGTTGCAGAAATCTGGTATCAGTTGTTCAGCAGCTGTACCAGCGTGTGATGAGGCTCCTACGCACCACTCTGTGACATCACAACTGCATCAAACTACAACGAACATCTACGGACTACTTATCATGAAATCAGCATTACTGACATAAAACTCTGGTCATTTGAGCGTGAGAACATCATTAAAAGGTGCATCTCATTTACAAAGAGTTTGTGGGTTCAAATGTATAATCTATAAAGATCCATGAAAAGTCATAAGAGAGATTTACAATGGAAGGTAATGACACTTTGTGATCTCTTTGCAGGTTGAGGTGTTCATTGCGAATGATGCTGGTGTGTATTTGCAGGAGCACAGTCCTGTTAGAGATGGAAAAATCTTGCTTGCGATATGCCATATCAAAACGTACCTCATGATCTGAATAAACAGAGCAAATACACAGACAAAATAGAGACCGAGTCAATAGGTAATTCTTTAGTTAAACACAGAGACACTAATATAAACAAAGACTTTGAATATACTAATATAAATATCCTTGCAAGGGACTGTGAAATAACTTGGGTAAGTGTACCCTTTAAGCCCACTTTCAACTCTGAAGTCAAATTAAAAGACGAGAAAGTCATATTTTATGCTGGCCATTATTTAACCAATTCAGTGATTTGTTTATTCCCTGACTTTTTTTTTTTATTACATACCAATCACATCTGCCAATGTTGAGTTAGCCCCACTCATGTGCATGCTGTCTCAAGGGACCTCACACAAAGAAACCCAAAAACTCAGTTTCAGGACCCTTCAGAAATCAACACATTTCTGCAATTTTCAGCCATTTCTTTAAGTATATTGATATTATGTCAAATAAGAGATAAATGTATTTTTTTGTGTGTATGAATAAATAGTACTTTATCCTTTTATATAATTTTATTTTAAATGGAAAGATTCGTTTTTTTTTTTTTGACCTCACACAAAGAAACCCAAAAACTCAGTTTCAGGACCCTTCAGAAATCAACACATTTCTGCAATTTTCAGCCATTTCTTTAAGTATATTGATATTATGTCAAATAAGAGATAAATGTATTTTTTTGTGTGTATGAATAAATAGTACTTTATCCTTTTATATAATTTTATTTTAAATGGAAAGATTCGTTTTTTTTTTTTTAACGGGGCCTTACTGAATGATAGACTGCTGAAGAATTAAGCATGTGAACTACAAACACTAAATGTTTTGTGATTCGGTTTACATTCATTTACAAATAAATACATCATTAATTGTATTGTAGAGCATTAACTTTTTTTTTTTACATGGGCTTAAATGGTACGGCGCCACAAAACTTATGCAAACTACAGACAACACAAGCTAACCTTGAATGAAAAAAAAAAGTACAATTTCTTAACATGGGCACAATGAAAATTGTCTGCTAATGTGTATCGTTTGTTTTCAGTGAGAAAATTACAAATAAGAGAAAAAACCTGTCCAAAAATTGTAGAGGCATGTCGCCTTTACCATGAGGGCACAGGGGGAAAAAAGTCTAGCAAAACAGTTTGGAGTGGACAGAAAGTCTTTGAGGGAGAGAGTGAAGGCCAAGATCATAGTTGATTCTCATCAGGGATGGGAGGCCTTCCTCAGTTCAGTGGTAGAGTTATTTCAGAGTGTCTTCAGGTAGACTGTAAACAAGAACCTAAGATTATGTTATATAGGCTAAGTGCAAAATGAAAGAAGGAAAAATGTGAGGTTGTGGGGATCTAAAAGTGGCTAATGTGTCTTTTTACAATCTGTACAGATAATGAAATGTTCTGCTTTGCATACTGTATGTTTTTCATGTTGAATGTTATTGGTACAGGTAGCGCTATAGCAAACATAAGTAAAATGATTTTTAAAAAATACTTCCGTCACTGAATAAATACATTAACGTTTTACTTCTTTAAAATAAAAAAAAAATAAAAAATATATATATATTGTGAATAAATCGTGATGTGGGCTTATTTGGAACACATGCGAGCTTAAATGGTGCCAAAGTACCAATTAAGACCATGCCAGGCCTTTGACTCTATTAATAAAATATCTTAACTTTGTATTCTAAAATGTACATCAACTAATTAATACATTTTCAGATGAGAGCTAAATCTTGCATTTTAACACACATATATATATATTGCAGGTTGAGGTGTTCATTGCGAATGATGCTGGTGTGTATTTGCAGGAGCACAGTCCTGTTAGAGATGGAAAAATCTTGCTTGCGATATGCCATATCAAAACGTACCTCATGATCTGAATAAACAGAGCAAATACACAGACAAAATAGAGACCGAGTCAATAGGTAATTCTTTAGTTAAACACAGAGACACTAATATAAACAAAGACTTTGAATATACTAATATAAATATCCTTGCAAGGGACTGTGAAATAACTTGGGTAAGTGTACCCTTTAAGCCCACTTTCAACTCTGAAGTCAAATTAAAAGACGAGAAAGTCATATTTTATGCTGGCCATTATTTAACCAATTCAGTGATTTGTTTATTCCCTGACTTTTTTTTTTTATTACATACCAATCACATCTGCCAATGTTGAGTTAGCCCCACTCATGTGCATGCTGTCTCAAGGGACCTCACACAAAGAAACCCAAAAACTCAGTTTCAGGACCCTTCAGAAATCAACACATTTCTGCAATTTTCAGCCATTTCTTTAAGTATATTGATATTATGTCAAATAAGAGATAAATGTATTTTTTTGTGTGTATGAATAAATAGTACTTTATCCTTTTATATAATTTTATTTTAAATGGAAAGATTCGTTTTTTTTTTTTTAACGGGGCCTTACTGAATGATAGACTGCTGAAGAATTAAGCATGTGAACTACAAACACTAAATGTTTTGTGATTCGGTTTACATTCATTTACAAATAAATACATCATTAATTGTATTGTAGAGCATTAACTTTTTTTTTTTACATGGGCTTAAATGGTACGGCGCCACAAAACTTATGCAAACTACAGACAACACAAGCTAACCTTGAATGAAAAAAAAAAGTACAATTTCTTAACATGGGCACAATGAAAATTGTCTGCTAATGTGTATCGTTTGTTTTCAGTGAGAAAATTACAAATAAGAGAAAAAACCTGTCCAAAAATTGTAGAGGCATGTCGCCTTTACCATGAGGGCACAGGGGGAAAAAAGTCTAGCAAAACAGTTTGGAGTGGACAGAAAGTCTTTGAGGAAGTGAGTGAATCTCAAGATCAGGATTGATGCTCATCAGGGACACGAGACCTTCCTCAGCAAGATTTCAGAGTGTCTTCAAGTAGACTGTACGCAAGAAGCTAGATTATGTTATATAGACTAAGTGTAAAATGAAAGAAGGAAAAATGTGAGGTTGTGGGGATCTAAAAGTGGCTAATGTGTCTTTTTACAATCTGTACAGATAATGAAATGTTCTGCTTTGCATACTGTATGTTTTTCATGTTGAATGTTATTGGTACAGGTAGCGCTATAGCAAACATAAGTAAAATGATTTTTAAAAAATACTTCCGTCACTGAATAAATACATTAACGTTTTACTTCTTTAAAATAAAAAAAAAATAAAAAATATATATATATTGTGAATAAATCGTGATGTGGGCTTATTTGGAACACATGCGAGCTTAAATGGTGCCAAAGTACCAATTAAGACCATGCCAGGCCTTTGACTCTATTAATAAAATATCTTAACTTTGTATTCTAAAATGTACATCAACTAATTAATACATTTTCAGATGAGAGCTAAATCTTGCATTTTAACACACATATATATATATATATATATATATATATACATATTATATATATATATATATATGTTTTTATAAACCATATCAATATCTATGAAAAACACCTATACTTAGATGTTGGTGTGCTTGTGTACACTTACCCTAAGTTATCTTTGCCGTATTTAAAGGTGGTTTACATATTAGGTATTGAGTTCAGTGTCTGGAGAGTTTACAGTTTTCAATTAAATGTTAACATTTACAAGGCCTATTGTAAGAAGTTGAACTGTAGCTTTTCACAAAACACGTTTTCATTTTTGTATTTTTTATGGAGAAGGTGCAGACTGCTGATTACTACGGTGGCCGAGAAGTGCTGAACAAATCACAATTCTGAAAACAAAATAACAAATTACAAACGCAAATGCAAGTCTACAAAACAAAATAACAATTGAGAAAGCACAACAACAATTCAGAAAACATTATAACAAGTCAGAAAACACAACGACAAATCTGAAAACAAATGAACAAGTCAGAAAACACAATGACAATTCAAACAAACCGGAAAAGGTAGGATATTGGGCACACACTTAACCATCTGCGCCACTGGAGCTGATGTGTTAAAGCCACTTTTAACTAGACAATAGTTAGACAATTACTAGACACCCCGTATTTTTTATTCCATAGTAAGGGCAATTCATACAATACATTTAAACTGAGCTACTTTAATACCATCTCCGAACTTTCTACCACGACTCTGCTGTTCTTCGGCTGGTTCTTCTCTGTATATATTGACTGACAGATGTCTCGTCCAGTCAGCGGTGAGTAATCCCAAACCAATGGTGCTGTCTCAAACTATACCTACCTCTTCCGGTTTGTCTGAATTGTCGTTGTGTTTTCTGACTTGTTAATTTGTTTTCGGATTTGTCCTTGTGTTTTCTGACTTGTTATAATGTTTTCTGAATTGTTGTTGTGTTTTCTGAATTGTTATTCAGTTTTTCAGACTTGCATTTGCGTTTGTAAGTTGTTATTTTGTTTTCAGAATTGTGATTTGTTCTGCACCTCTCGGCCACCGTAGATTACTATTGAGTGATACAAATGTGTAAAGATGAAAACGAAATAAAGTTACTAAATATGGTTTACAACTGTTTTTTTGACCTCTGAATTTTGTTATTTTTAGTGAGCCAACACATGGACTGCATAAATTAAAACATAACCTGTTATAGAGAGTTTATAAGGGGCATTACATGAAGGACCACCCACAATTCAAAACAAACAAAAAGAAATGAAATCTCACTGCTTGCGTCCCCTTGAGGGGCAGGATGACATTGAAAAGGGGAAAGGAAGGGAGGGGGAGTCTAGTCTCTTTCAAACTTCCGGGCGGGAACTTCCGGTTGCGGCGAGTTGAATTCCTGCTAGCTAAAGACACATGATGGGTAACTGAATGCTGTACGCGCTCCTGGAGTTTGACTGCGAAAAGTACAGTAATCTTACATGTGGTTGAGACAATGGAGTCCAAAATAAAATAACAGAGGTGACTGAAGCACCAAGCCTCAGGTATGTGAGCTCACGAGACGATATTGACTAGAATGTGGTGATTACTCAGTTTTGTACTTTATAATGGCGAGAGTAGTTCTGCTCTACCTGGCTAACGGTTGCAAGCCGTTAAATGTTCGACACGGAACCAAGTACTGCGACCTTTTTATGCTACGTCCACAACATAGACACGTCTAATTTATATTCGTGCGCTATACGCTGCTCTTTTTTCATTTAAAACGGTAACCTAGAAAGTTAAATGTTACACGGTTTGATCAAAATAGGCGAGCCTTTGCTTGCTGTCGTTGGCGGCGGAAGTAGGCGGAACATGAGATAATTTCAACTAATCGGGATCGCCGACACAATTATTGACAGCGCTTACAACCAATAGGATTTCCGCAAATTTCCTGTGGCGCTTGCAATGAATCTTTAATGCGGTTTCGTCTTATTCCGGTGCACATTTGTCTATGCATCTGACAAGGCTGGCTGGAACACAGACGGGTAGCGCTATGTTGTTCAGTGTGAGATTAAAACAGCTGGTCTGCTCCTATTTGGGGTTTTTGCTGTTTTTAGTAGGACTCCATCAAGCCGAAGGAGCCGCAACAGAAATGGCAAACCTGAACTGGAAGCCGTTTGTCTTTGGGGGAATGGCCTCAATTGTCGCAGAATTCGGTGAGTCTGTGCACCTGCTGTTTTTACATCACCATTATCATCTATTACAGATCACTTCTTCATTCAAAGGTATTAATACAAGCTCTTATCTCAAATGGAAGTGCCATAGATTTTGTGACTGTAGTACTGTAAAAAAAAAAAAAGTTAATGATTATGCGGGATATTTGTCTAAATTTCAATTATGAAATGGGACGATGCTGTAGTTGTTTAGCAAAGATATTTCCATTCAGAAAATAAATAAATGCATTTCACGTGTCCTGCTTTTCTTGTGAAAGAAACTATGGTGAAATGTCCTACTGTTGAACCTCTTTGCACAAAACTTTGCATATATGCTTTGCATGATTTTGTCTGTCTTCAGTACAGCTTTGTGAATAAGAAAACATTTGACAGATGTTTGATGATGTGCAAACTTTAATGTTTTCTAACACTGACAGTGACAATTTCATGCTGTTCTCTATTTAGATTATTCTGAGAAAACAGCAATAGCTAATCATTCAAGCTTTATGTTAATCCGTACATTAATAAATGTGCTTGTTTGTCATTGCATGGACTTGTGATGTATTATAGTCTGTCATTTAAACAATTATATATTTAGATTTACATTAACCTCAGTATGGAAATAAAGCATTGACCTTGAATTTGTTTTTTTATTCACAGAATTTCACCTGCACTCCTCCGACAAGCTTCCTACGGGACAATCAAGATCGGTACATACAACACATTGAAGAAACTGATTGTTAGTCGTCCAGAAGGTGGGTTTATGGGATGAATGCTTTGATGCTGTTCATGTTGTGCAAGATCTTTTCCATACAACATTACATTATGAGAATAGAACATCATGTTTGCCACTTGGGTTTGATATCTTCAATGAAATCATATGTTTGACTCACTGAACCAGTTTTGTAAGGGTAGCTGTCCTGAAATTTTACCATTTTATTTGGATTTCGCAATCATTGACGTCTAGACATACCTGATTTAACTTTAACAAACTGTATTCATTAGATGATAACCTAATGTATGACTATAAACAGAAGCTATATGAGATGGGGAGTGAACTGTCTCCGGAGAATTATCTATGTCTTAATGTGTTGAGTGATATAGACTAGTTACTACCATGTCAGACAGCATGTCACATGTCACATTTGCTTTGTAACAAAATCGAATAAGCTTCCCAAAGAGGCAAAACGTATAGCACATTTTTGTCAGCATCACATTAATCTTTTAAGTATGAGGCCATTATTAATATTTGTGAGAGCAAATGCGTGATTAGCATGCATAGATTCGATTAGAGTAGCAATACTGTTAACAGACTACCCAAATCAATGTTGAGCATTAGTCTAGTATTCAATTAGTTGCCATTATTGAGTAGTGTTTGTGTGGATACGCATTAGTAATTGTTAATAGTTGCCTATGATCACATTTCAGATCAGCCACTTGTAAGAATACATTTTAATTAGCCACCTAACACTGCCGTAACTACAACTAGGCATGTTGCTATAGAGAACAATAAATTCTGTCTCTTACGGGCTAATTTGAGTTTGTCCTAACCAGCTGTAATCACAATGAGTGTCACAATGTTTGTTTCTATTTCTATGCCGTTGCGATGAGTCGTTCTGCTCACAGTGACTTTGTTTGGATCAAGGTCCCGTTCCACAAATTTGTTCTATGGGCACTGAAATTTTTTTCGGCTTCTCACTAGGGTTTTGACGGTGAGGACATTGTCCCACCAGTTAATCGACGTGTGACAACACCGGTATCACCGTGGGGGTGTTCCCGCTTTTCCTTGTTTTCCTTCGCTTTTAAATAGCTTGTAAAAGCGGCGTGCGCATTTTACTTTCACTTTCAAATAGTGGCAATTCGGCATAAAGCAATTGTTCGAATTAGCGGCAGTTCGGCATCAATTGCTTGAATGCAACAACAAAATACGTCAAACTCACTTTAGCCTGTATATAAAACATAGAACTTTTATTAACAAAACAAATAAAAATACACCATGCTATAGGGCAGGCTATGCCTAATATAAAATAATAAATAACTTGCATGACATTTAAATAGGTATACAAAACTGGACATAGGCAAAGTAAACGTATAATATATAACCAAATAAATAAGAAACGTAAAACGTTTATTAGCAAAACGAGTAAGAAAGCTTGGAGGCACGGCATACACCTTGATGTCAAATAAAATAAATAAATGACACCAAGTTTAAATAAAGTAAAAATCAGCTATTCCACAATGTGGAACCAATTAAATAAGAAACGAATGTTTAAAAAAACGTCCAAAATCACCTTAGATAAACGGCAAAAGTCAACAGGCATTTCAAAATCCAAAATATTGCCAAACAGGCGCTTTTGCATTTCGTTTCTAAACTAAATCATCCACGATCGTCTTGTCTGTCTCACCCCACTCTTCTTGTCAGTCAGCTCTCCTCACTCTCCTCACTGGATAAATGAAGTCTGATCTGTGACACAACTGTCGTTCGGCACGCTGCATTGAGCAGCCGTGTTCAGTTTTTAATTGTAGTGTCTGTTCGTTTACTGAACTCAATGATTTTTATTACTATAAAAAAATCAAAAAGACTGGGGGTCGGTGCCGCGGTGGGCAAGTGTCGTTAACCGGTGTTGCGGCTTAACACCGGTATCACCGTCAGCACCGTCTATCGCGGCAAGCCTACTTCTCACTTTACTGCACAAATAACTCCTCAATTTGTATAGTGATTAGGGCTACAATTGAGATGAATGGTAAGAAACGTAATGATTTTCATTAGGATTCTCTTACAATTCTGGTTTCATAACTATTCCCTCGATGAGAAACATTTTTCAAGAACAAATTAAATTTCAGATTTGAGCAAAACAGATTTTACGAATCAGAAATACATACATTTTTGTGGGTTCTACAAAAAGACTTTTGGTAACGCTTTCTATGAAGCCCGTATTTATAATTCATTATAAGGGTATTAAGGCATTAATATTAAGGCACTATAATGAATGAATAATGCATTATAAAAAACCTTATATGTTGTATCATCTCATAAATAATCATAAGTACAGTTTGAATGTATTATAATACTGATTTGTGGTTATAGCTTTTAAGAGTTTGATGATTTACAACACACAATGAACATGTTGTATCCACTTGACTTACGTTACAATGAATTATAATTATAAGAGTTATAATGTATTGTAAGTCTCATATCTTGCCATTGTTTAAGATCTGCACAATAACTTGGTGCATCTTATTAGTGTTTTTACTGTAAAATGACAAATAGAAATTCTTCATGAAAACATCTCAACATGAAAAAAAAGGCTTTTTAATGCAGTCTTATGATTTATAAGTGGTCTGTTTACTTTAAAGGGGTTATATGATGCTTTTTTTAAAGATCATTATTTTGTGTATTTGGTGTAACAGAATATGTTGACATGCTTTAATGTTCAAAAAAACACATTATTTTTCAAATACTGTACATTATTGTAGTTCCTCTATGCCCCGCCTCTCTCAAATGCTTAGTTTTCTACAAAGTCCCTCCTTCCGACAAGCGCAGTCTGCTCTGATTGGCCAGCTGACCCAGTTCATTGTGATTGGCCGAACACCGCAAGCACTCGTCGGAAATGTAACGCCCCTTACCATAATCGCGAGCTTCATCTTTCAAAATAAATGTAAAGACAGAGCCCGAAAGGGGAACATAGTCGTGTGACAGACACAGTGATGAAGCTGGTATGTGTGCAGTACACAAGCCACGGTTAGGACAGCTGACTCCACTGTGATCTCTCACACACACACACACACACACACACAATGCGCAAAACTCCGCATTTGAACAGTCAATAGCAAATACTAAAACTAATAACAAAACAGTAGCTGATTCAGAAGTGCCAGATTGTCATAGCAAAGTCAGAATTACCTCTTCTCCTAGGTTCCCGAAACGGTCGTCCGTAAAATGCATTGCTGTTCTGTTGTAAGTAATCTTAAAGATTCCTAGATGCATCTACTTTCGGAAGGCCAAATAAAGTGCATTTGCTTTCGCCTAGAAACACACAGCATCTCTGACATGGCTGCTTCAACACTAACTGCGGTTACTGAAACCACACCTTCTTTCTTTGCGTGCACATTTGGGCGGCATTATACTAATATTGCCACATAGTGAGGTAGATATGTGGGAGCGTGTTAGAACGAGCCGTTTTAGGGGGGCGTGGCAGAGTCTTAACTTTGATAAAGAATATCTCTTTGGTTTTGAGACTTTAGTGTTTGCAACTTCAGGGATCTTATCTCTGCACAATCAGCTTGTAACACTCCAAAGAGAAAGGAAAACTTGAAATCGCATCATATGACCCCTTTAAGTAAAGTAACTTCACTTTACTTAAAGCAGACAAAGACCACCTATTAATAATAATAATAAATTTTTTTTCTCAAACAGCAGATCAGATGAATGTGTTCACATTTGCTTTTAACTATTTTATTATAATATCAGTATGGTTTTGATGGTACCCTTTAAGACAACTGTTGATAAGTAACTTTGCAACTACATGTCAACTCGCATTGGAGTATTAGTAGTATGTCTGCTAAATATCTGCTTCCCCAACAGACAGTTAACTGACTATAGGCAACTTTGCAAGTATGTCGTCAACTTATTCTACCAACCTTAACCTAAGTCTACCAATACTCTAAGTGAGAGTTAGTTGGCATGTAGTTGCTTATAGTCAATAGACTAAGGTAGGGCTGGGTGATAATTCGATAATGATAATATATATATTTATATATAATTTTCCTCGATAAAACGATATGAAGAGTTCGATATAATGTTTATGCGCCAAAAGCGGAACGAAACAGCGCGACTCATTGAATCGTGCCACACGGACCATTTATCCGCTCGGATCAAAGTTCAGAATAAATGTAACCGTATAAAACTGAGGTTGCTACAATTTTTACAGATGTTACTGATTTTGATAATGAACAAATATTTACCTCTGCGTCTTAACTCAAACTACTATCAAATGTGTATTTCTAAGAGACAAAAAAGTGATATTATTATTATTAATGTTATCAGGCAACCCAAACCTGTTTCTTGATTTGAAACAATATCACTCATTAGAACATGCAGAAACTAAGAAATTAATTTTTCTATTTAGATATTTATTTTGTTAAGGAAAATTAATGGTCTAGTTTCTACAACTTTCACTTTGGAGCAAAAATCTGGCTTTAAACTTTTTCTGTAAAATTTATCGTGATAATTATCGATATCGACTGATATGAAAACAATTATTGTGATAATTCTTTTGGCCATATCGCCCAGCCCTAGACTAAGGGGACCATCAAAAAAAAAAGTAAACATTGCCTTTTTTTAAAATTTATTTGAAAGTATTACACCGGATCTTAAACTAGCTCACAGCAAAATTAACATTAACCTCACAGGAAACACTGGATTGGATAAGTCGTGGCCTAATGGTTAGAGAGTCGGACTCATAACCCAAAGGTTGTGGGTTCGAGTCTCGTACCGGCAGGGATTGTAGGTGGGGGGGGGCTGAATGTACAGCGCTCTCTCCCACCTTCAATACCACGACTAAGGTGCCCTTGAGCAAGGCACCGAACCCCCAACTGCTCCCCGGGCGCCGCAGCATAAATGGCTGCCCACTGCTCCGGGTGTGTGTTCACGGTTTGTGTGTGTTCACTGCTGTGTGTGTGCACTTTGGATGGGTAAATGCAGAGCACTAATTCCGAGTATGGGTCACCTGTGATAATTCTTTTGGCCATATCG